CAGCACCACATAAGCAAAAAGAAAAAAGCCGGAAGTGGCTCTGTCTAGCCTAGAGCTGAGGGACAGCGCCCAGACCCAGAGTTCCGCCCCATGACCGGACCCAAAAAAAAAAAAAAAACCCACCCAGTTCTTCCCATAGGCCAGTGTTTCTCTACTATCAATCCCCTCTTTTCAGTGATGACAAAAGACATTCCGTTCCCACCCTGGCTATGGGAACTTGATCACCATTCTTCTATCTCCAATGGGTAGAACTTTGTGAGAATTCACGAGTTGTGAGAAGGTTTTCTGTGACTCCTCTAAGATTTCAAATGGACCCTCCACCTCCTTGGTGCCAGGGCTTTTACCTGTGTGGCCATTATTGTGCAGGTCCAAAGGCTCAGTGCCAAGCTGGTCATATCCATAGGGTTGCAGAGCAGGTAATGTGGGGTCAAATGTCACACTGTCTGTCTGGATGTCAATGGGGGACTGGGCGTTGCTTCCACACTCCGGGTAAGAGACTGGCCAGTGGTCCTGACCATGTGGGCCTGGTGGGGGTCACCACAGACATCTGTCTGCCCTCCAGCCCCAGCCCTCCCTTCAACACCCTGCCCCCCCCCCCCACAACCCACTAATGTGTGAAGGTAGAAATGCACTTCACCCAGTTAGGAAAGGCTGAGTGAGGCAGGAGTCCCTCCCTGCTCAACTTCATGCTGTAGTTCCCAGAGGCAGGAATGGCTTCCCAACTACCCTGATCATCGAGGAAGCGATGGCTTTTTACTTACCTACAGTGTGAGGACAAGAAAGCTGAATGAGGGGAAGAGGAGATGGATAGAAAGCTTGAGTACCCAGAGAGGTAGGATTAGAGAGGAGGACTAATAAAATGAGGGGAAATAAATAATCCTAGAGAAATGGAATCTCCTCGGGGGCCCCCTATCAGATGGTCCAAATATCTTGACTTTTTGTCATTCAGTTCTTGCTCTCAAAGTAGATTCTGCATTTCAGCAAAGTCATTAAGCAGAAGTTCAAAGGCATTGAGATCTGCTTTCCCCAGGCTCACAGACTACAGCCTCGTCACCCCTGACTTTATGCTCAGTCCAGTTTCAGAGGTAGGTTGGGGACAGGACTGGCTAGGATAGAGAATGCCAAAAACAGCAGCTATGCTCAGGTCCTTTCCAATCCAACTCCCACATGCTTTACTAGGGACTCGACTGGCCTTTCTGCTGAATCAGGAGGAGGTGGGATTTAATGATTAGAACAAGGTCTGGGAGTCATCTATGTAAAACCCAGGGCAGGGTGCAGAGAGAAACCCAGGGCAGGGTGCAGAGAAAAAGGGAAGAAAAGGGCTAGTGGTGAAGCTCAAGGAAATCTCCTTCCTTTCCTCAGGGACAAGTCTTCCTAGCAGGTGAGGAGGTCCCAGAGTGGCCCAGAGTTCGGCTCTCACCTTCATATGCCCAGTGGTGACCTGCAAGGCAGAATGGTTTGGGTTATAGCCAGCAGCCTAAAGGCAGAGCCCTGGCCTCCACTCTCCCCCTCCCTCCTTCATTCCTCCTCCCACTGCTCCTATACTTCCCAAAGGAAGCCCTGAAACTGGACACCTCAGTGGAAAGGTCGGGGTGTGTGTGTGTGTGTGGAAGCATTTAAAATCACCAGCTAGGCTGTGCTTGTGCTTGCTAAGTAAAAGGGGAAGAGGAATGAAAACAGATAAAGCTTGGAGACTAAAATTAACCTGGATCCAAGAGTGCAGTCAGTCCAGCCCTTACTTTTTTTTTTGTTGCAAATTTTTTATTGCGATTAAGTGGTTATATAATTCCCCAAATTTCACAGTATTGTGGGATAGTGATGCTTAGTTAAAGTCACAAACACATTCTAACTTTCATGGGGCAAATTGTCTATCATGGTCTATAACATGAGTTCTGGGCTGGGAAGGTGGCTCAGTGGTAGAGCGCTTGCCTTGCAAGCCTGAGGCCCTGGGTTCGATTCCTCAGCACCACATAAGCAAAAAAGAAAAAACCCAGAAGTGGTGCTGTGACTCAAGTGGTAGAGCTCTAGCCTTGAGCTAAAGAGCTGAGGGACAGCGCCCAGACCCAGAGTTCAGGCCCCACGACTTGACCCCCCCCCCAAAAAAAACATAAGTTCTATGAGCTTTGCAATAGTTATTCCACATTGGGTGGTATGTACATTTCTTTTGTTTTGCATAGCATCAGCTGTTCCCTCTTTCCCACTTGTTCCCTCCCTCCCATCACTGCCATTGAGTTGCTTGGTTCATTTTGGTCAATGTCCAGTGCAGCTGATACAGCCCTTACTTTTCTACAGCCTGGGCCAAATCAATCTAACACTTAAAAGATTGAAGTGGGGTGGGGCAGGGGTGAGGACAAGAAGACTTCCAGGACAGGGACTTAAAAAAGGGAGGAATTATTCTTTTGCCTTGAAGCATTACATGAATGAAGGCTCTGAACTATAAATTAAATCCCTCCTTTCTGCTTCCACAGCTGTAGAGGAAGCTCCCTACCCACATTCTAGAGGGCTAAGGAAGGGCGGGAGTCAGGGCAGGGTCTACACTAGGTTGAGGGTGGTGGGTGGGCTCAGGCAGCCAGACTGGCAGGGACAGGATGAAAGTGAAGCATTGTGTGTAGAAAGGAGAGCTGCCAGCTGGGTCACATGCCAGGCTCGCAGTGCAGTCCCGTCTCTTGAGGAAAGGCTGGGGGCTGGCGGGTGGGGGGTGTCTATTGGTCCAGCCCCTACCCAGGGCCAAAGTGCTTTAAGCTTAAAAGGGAGGTCTTTCGTTGCAATATTAAACTGCTAGAAACTGGAGAAAAAAATTCCAAATTTCTTTTTTTTCTCTCTCTACAATTACCCTTCAATTTTTCAGATGTCTTGGATCTCATTCTTTCGTTGTTATTGTTGTTGTTGGTTGTAGGGCTTGAGCTTTGGGCCTGGGCACTGTCCTTTAGCTCTTCAGCTCAAGGCTAGTGCTGTACCACTTGAGCCCCAGTGCCACTTCCAGTTTTCTGGTAGTTTATTGGAGATAAGAGTCTCAAGGACTTTCTTGCCCTGGCTGGCTTTGAACTGCGACCCTCAGATCTCAGTCTTCTGAGTAGCTAGGATTACAGGCATGAGGCACCGGCTCCCAGCTTTGGATCTCATTCTTAAGACTATTCCACCATCCATTCCCTAATTCAGGTTAACTGTAAAGCAGCCCAAGGAAGGACAGGAGATGGCCTGAAGGACACCCCAATAACTAGAATTTCCTGGCTCTCTGAAGGTGTCCTTTTACTGCCATCAAATCCGCCATGCTGAGTCTATATCCTTTTCTCCTCTTTCCTTACTACTTTTTTTTCTTTCTTCTCTTACATTCTCATTTTGTTTTCTTTTTATCTTGCCAGTCCTGGGGCTTGAACCCTGGATGCTGACCCTGAGCTTTTATGCTCAAGGCTAGCACTCTATCACTTTAGACACTGGCTTTTTGGTGGTTAATTGGAAATAAGGGTCTCATGGACTTCCTTGTCTGGGTTGGTTTTGAACCACGATCCTCAGATCTCAGCCTCCCAAGTAGCTAAGATTACAGGCATAAGCCACTGGTGCCCAGATCTCATTTTGTTTTCTAGATAGCCTCCTCACCTTATTCTTCCAACAAACCTTAATTACACACCTACTGTGTGCTGGATACTGTACTAGGCATGAAAAGCACAAAAATGAGGTCCCTGGAGACACTCCTAGGGCACACAAGTTGGCCCATTCTCTCTCCCCAGTCTCTCCGTATCACCTGGGAGACCCTCACAGTCTTTTGTAAACTATAAAATACCAAACAAATGTTGGCTATTATTCCTACTACTGCAAACTCAAGCAGCGACAGCCAGCTAGCCAGCAGTGAAGTGATCAGATGATCATTTGGAGACGGGGGACTGAGTTGGGCAGGTCACGTAGGCATGCTTCCCCCCCTCCCCCAATTCTCTTTGTCTCTCTCAACAGCAGAGTTCACAAATAAAGAAGGCTAGGAAGGCTGCCTGGGACTAGCACGTTGGGGAAAGAGGAGCTCAGGAGAGAATCTGTAGCCTGTAAAGAAATTCCTGAACTTGGGTGTGTATTCACTGCCTTCTCCCACAGTTCTCTTCCATCCCCAGTATCAGCTGGATTGGAAAGATAAAGAAAGGAGTGATATTTATACTCCCCACCCCCCCCACACTTGAGCTAGGCTTTCTTTCCACGCCTCCCCTTTCCCCCAACTCAGCACAATGGTGACATGTGGACATTAGCTCAGACCAACACACAAACATCCAGTTGTACCTACCCCCATCTGCAGCCAGGGTCCAAATCACCTCTAACAGGAGGGTGAAGAACAACATGGTATATCCAAGAGGATAGGGCGCGGTGAACCAGGGCTCCAGGACTTTGGGGACTAAGGGACTAGGGAAAGTGGAGGAGAGTGATGGGGGGGGGGAGAAAGAGAGAGAGAGAGAAAGAGAGAGAGAGAGAGAGAGAGAGAGGGAGAGAGAGGGAGAGGGAGAGAGGGAGAGAGGGCTTCCTGGAGTTAAGTATGTCTTTTTAATCTCTTCTTTCTGCAGACTTCCAATGGGACTTGGTTCCCAATGGAGTACCAAGGATTTCTAGGTACCAAGGATTTCTGGGTCCCAGGATAAATCTCTTGCCGCCTCTCTCTTTATCTCCCTCTGCAGTCTCCACTCCACTTGCTGGCCAGCGACTTCGCAATTGCCTCCTGCTTTTAAGGTGGCTCTGGCCGAATGTAAGTGGGGAGGGGAAGGTGCCTGGATTGCTGGCGTGCAGCTCCTTAAATAGCCGATTAGGCATGCAGGATGGCCCCCGTGCCGAGCCAGAGCGCGCGAGTCTCACTGGAGCCCTGGCCCTGACTCAGGAGCCCAGCTGGGGTGAGCTCTTCCTTCTGTTATTCACTAGTGCTCACATGGGTGTCTCCTGCAGCAGGCAGGGGCAAGGAAGGGGGGCTTTGGGGCCCAATTCCCCCCCCCCTCTTCACGAGGACACTGTGTTCTCATTTGCCTGCTTGGCTTCTCCTCCCTGGGTGGTGTGGACAGCTGGTGGGGAACCTGTTTCCACACCCTGGCAGCCCCTGAGCTGCCTGGAAATTGGAAGAGTCCAGAATGAAGAGATAAGAAGATCAGAAGGAGTTGGAGACTCAGGGTGCAAGTGGAATAGTTGGGAAATCAGGGTGTAAAACTTGGGTTGTGGAGTCAGAGAAATGAGGCAGAGGCAGAACTTTCTTGAGCTCTGTCTGTCTCCTGTGCTACCCCCTTCCCACGGTGAGGACCAAGTCCACGTGCCTGTGTGGCCTGGAAGAAGTGTGTGTGTGGGGGGGGTGGTGGTTTTGTTTGCTGTATAAAGCCTATTTGTATGCCCAGCGGGGGAGGGGCTCCCACAGCACCATGGAGAGACAGCGGCTCTAACTGCCAGATCCAGCCACCTCCCTCCCTTGGGAGCTCAGATCTAGGGCGGCTTTTGTCACTGAAGAGGACACTGACCCTTTGCAGAGAGGCCCCGGCAGGAAAGATGGGCAGACTATGGAAACAATCACTACCTTCAATCAGAAAAAAAGAAAAGAAAAGGAAAGAAAAAAAAAGGTAGACTCTAAAGAAAGAGAGAATGATTAGAGAGAATCCCTTGTGGAAGAAGGGCTCAGGCCATTCCCTGTTGCCCAACAAAAGGTCAAAGCAGTACCACTGAGACTGCGTGAAACCTGCCACCATGGAGCTGGGCCAGTGGAGCAGAGAGTCTTGGAGTCTCAGGAATGTGGGCTTATGTGTGTTCTCTCCCACGGGACTGGAAATCCCGATTGGAATGTACATCCTAAATCCCTCATTAGAGAATGTGAAAAACACAGATAATGTCAAGCTGGACATTGAAACCTGAAACCTTTTTCTCCTCCATACCCTTCAGTGCCATCACCAGCTGGGAGGGAGGATGAGCCCATTTGCTTTCCTCCCTCTGCTCTCCTCGCTCCTCCCAGGTAGCAATAAATAGTCCTAAACAAAGAGCAGAAGCTAAATAAGGGAGCGGGCTAAAAGCGAAATGAACAGAATAATGCATGTGCTGGGTCATCAGCTCCTGCAGAGACAGGAGCTCCCCAGCCTGGCTGTTCCCTGTGATAGTTCTGCAGAGCAAGCCTGTTTGGCAGACGCCATTTCCTTTTTTACTCTCATCACCCTCCAAATTATTTTTCACCTAGAGAGAAGTTTTCTGTTTGTGAGGCTCCTCCCAAAAAACCCATCCATCCCATCTAGGAAGAATGAAAGGTATATAGGGTAAACTAACAAGACATCTTTGGAATCACAGTGGTTAACACAGAGAGGGAAGGGGAGAACAAAAAAAAAAGGCAAGCAGAGACCCCCTTTCCATGGCAGGAAAGAAGAGATCTGGACGGAATGACCTCTGTCAGGACAGAGTTCCCCTGGAGTGTCTGAGTTTTAGCTTTCCAAGGCAGGTTAGTGTGTCATTCCAGGCGCCACCTGCTGGCTTGTCTGTGAATTAAAATTTTAATTTAAAATATTTTGTGTGTGGTTCCTCCTGGGAAATACTCACTGCTGGTAGGCTTGGGGTTTTGCCTACACAGTTGAACACTGTTTTCATAAAGTCAATACTTCCCACTCTGGGGTGAGCAGTCTCTGGGGGTTCTCGAGCTCCCTAATGGACAAAGGGGTTTCTAGAAGAGAGGGAGAAGAGGCTAGCACTGTGCTGCAGGATTGACTCTATTCTGATCTTTGGCTTTACTGTGCACATTTCACTTTTGGCTTTTCAGTCTTGCTGATTTGGAGTAGAGGCAAGGGTGCCCTAATATGTTTATTTGTAAGTGATCGCATCCACCTTTCCCTCTCCCATTTCTATTGAAACTCTGGCATCTTTTTTTGCCTTTCTCCCTCTTGCTCTTTCCTCACCTACAAGAATCAAAACATTCCACTGCCTCTGGCGCCATCTCCTGTCCTTCCAACTTACAGTGGAAGGTGAACGTCAGAACACAGAGTGCTATCATTGATGAGGGTTTTTGTTGTTGTTCTTTACTTTTCTTAAAAGACCTAGATATTTAAATTATATATATTGATTCAGATTTTTTTTGACAATCTTGGAGCTTGAAACTCAGGCCTGGGCACTGTCCCTGAGCCTCTCTGTGCTCAAGGATACCATGAGTCACAGCGCCACTTCCAGCGTTTTTTGTTTATGTGGTACTGAGAAATAGAACCCAGGGCTTTATGCATGCTAGGCAAGCACTCTACCACTAAGCCACATCCCCAGCCCTGACTAGTACAGATATTTAAGCTCACAAGTTTAAAGCATTACACAAACCCACTACCTCTCTGGGGTTTGTATGGTAGGACATATAGCAGTTCAGTAAAAGAGAAAGACAAAATAAAATGATAACAATAGTTTAAAAAAAAGAAGCAAGAATGGTTATAGAGGAACTTACTATGCAAGCAGTACAGGTGGTTGGCAACTAATTGCTGGGAAGAAATAATCAGTGAGGAAACAGAATTAGATAGAATTAGACTTTCTAGAAAACCTGATTAACAGAGCTAAGCTAGACCCAGAGATATTCTAATTTCATAATCACATTCAATATTGCATGTTTTTCTTCTAACATTTTAGTATTGAAATCTCTTAATCACAAAAGTGTGCAGGAATTAAAGTCAAAGTAATTAGGGGGAGGGACATTGGGGGAGTAGGTAGGTCAGATTTCTTTGGATCAGTACCTTCTGCTTTCACTCATTGACTAGTATTCTCTCAGCTGAATTGCACTTCCAATCCCTTTTTTTTCTTCAGTTTTTTTTTAGTTCCTAGTGTGCAGTAGATGCAATATGAGAACCTTGTAGATAGAGGACAGGTACAGGTCTGTGGTTTGAGCTGAGTGCTGATGGCTCACGCCTGTAATCTTAGCAACTCAGAAAGCTGAGATCTGAGGATCATGGTTCAAAGTCAGCTCAAGCAGAAAAGTCCAAGAGACTTATCTCCAATTAACACCAAAAAAACTGGAAGTGGGGCAGCTCAAGTGGTAGAGCACCACTGTTGAGTGAAGAGCTAAGGGACAATTCTCAAAGTCCTGAGTTCAAGCCCCAGGACCAGCACACATGCACAAATAAAAGTTTGTGTTTTGAAATATTGCAACTTATTGAATTAAAAAGGAGTGATTCTGCATTCCAAAACTGGAAGTGGCACTGTGGTAGAGTGCTAGCAAAGAAAGAAAGAAAGAAAAGACAAGAAAAGGTGTGGTTCTGCATCACTCATTTATTCCATGCATTGAACAGTGCATAAATACTTTTAGATTGGGCTGGGAAGGTGGCTCAGTGGTAAAGCGCTTGCCTTACATGCATGAGGCCCTGGGTTCGATTCCTCAGCACCACATAAGCAAAAACAAACAAACAAACAAACAAACAAGAAGTGGCGCTGTGGCTCAAGTGGTAGAGTGCTAATCTTGAGCTGAGCTGAGGGACAGCACCCAGGCCCAGAGTTCAGGCCCCACGACCGGACCAAAAAAAAAAAAAACCCAAAAACTTTTAGATTAAGTGAATGTGTCTAGTCATTGAAACCATTGCTTCTGCCTCTGGTATTTCATAGAATTTTAGACTATAAGGGCCCCCAGGCATTGACATTATGCCCTGTAGGAAATGACTTTGAAGAGAAGTCTCTAGTTTACAAACACATTTTACGTAGTGACAGGTGCTGCCCATGGCATGACCTAGAAATAAATCTCGAAGGGAGGCATTCTATTCTAGAATAGAATGGTGACAAGATATAAAAGAGGTGCAGCAGCGTTAGGAGAACCAAGGTGGAAATGAGGAATTACTAGTGGTGAGACCTATATTACCTATCAGCAATCTTTCTCACAGGCTGGCAACATAATCGTGGCGATTTAACTGTGTTCTTTCATAGACCAAAAGCTAACAGGTGTCAATTCAAGGAAGGCAGACCATATTTCATTGTTTCTGAGAATAACACCAAAAGATCCTTCATCACATCCTTTGTGAAGTACTTTTTCTGGTCGAGGGAGGGCAAAGGTTATCTTGGTGTTCTGAAATTGTGATTGCTCCTCATTCCACCTGTATTTTCTACTTCATTTTTCTTTTCTACCATTTGTCTAACTCAGATGAAGGTTGTATACCACCAACCCCAGAACAAACAAACAAACACGTTATTCCTGTCACTTCCCTTCAATGTGAGACACATTTTTAATTTTTACTTAGCATAGCATAGAGTAGTTGTACAAGAACGAGGTTTTATTTCTGTACATGCATTCAGTGTAACAAACGCATCCCTCTATCATTCTGCCTATTCTTTTTTTTTTGCCAGTCCTAGGGCTTGATCTCTGGGCCTGGGCACTGTCTCAGAGCTTCTTTTTGCTCAATGCTAGCACTCTGCCACTTGAGACACAGTGCCACTTTCAGCTTTTTCTGTGTACATGGTACTGGAGAATAGAACCCAGAGCTTCGTGCATGCTAGCCAAGCACTCTACCACGAAGCCAAACTCCCAGCCCTATTACACCTTCTTTTTTTTTTAATTTTTATTTTTTTGTGAACACACTGTACAGAGGGGTTACAATTACATGGGCAGGTTAATGCGTACATTTCTTATCAAGCATTGCAGCCTCCTCCTTTGTTTACTCTTCACATCCCTTCCCAGCCTCCCCCCCACCCCTAACCCAATCCCCCCCTCCGCCTTCCCCCCCCCACACCAACATTGTAAAGCTCCTTTTCGACATGACAACTTGTATTTCTCATTGTTGCAACAGGTCCACCTGTTTTAAACAACTTGTTTTTCCCCATCTCCTCTACAAGTTATACTGACATCAAATATAGTGAAAGCAGGGGCTA